GGAACAGATGTCAGCCAAAGCTCCCAGCACAGATCAAGGGCAGGTTAAGAGCTTTGAGATGGGTCTGAATGTCCCTTTAACATCCTTCCATCTACTACCCAAATATACTTGGAGTCAGTACCCTGTTTTCCTAAGAAGCTCTGAACCATATGTCCGGGAACTAATTAAGCATACAAATCAAGCCCCAGGATCAGGTGGCGCTCTGTTTAAATATCTTAACCTTTTATGATTATCTTAATTTAGAGAAAATTCAAAACACATTCGGAAGTCTTAGCAAATGAACTAAGTAGGAATTTACTGGCCGGCTGCTTTTCTTGATGTTGGAATCCTTTCTTCACAAGCCCAGTGTGGGGTGCTGGGGAAGCCATCCCTATCATTCATGGTCTCCCCTGCACATCAAGACACCTGACTTGTCCTTCCTTCCCCAGTGGCTTCTCCCAGCTCAAACCCCACTGGCTCCTGCTCCTAGCCCAGATGTTTCTGTGTACTAAGAGGAACGGGAGCAATGGAGCAGGCTCAGCCCTTGCAAGTTTCATCTCAGGCTGAAGTGAGGAGGGTAGGAAATACTCCTGCGGCCTGGCCTGGTGTGGCAGGGGAGTTGTGGAGGGGCGTTCAGAGACTTGAGATGGGAATTGTACAAACCAGGCTCCACCTGGCTGCAGGTGGCTGAGGGAAGGTCACAGCTGGGAACCTCTGTCTTTCTGGATTCCTGGGTTACTCTGGCAGCAGGGCGTACAGACTGGGGAACTCTCTCTTGCCTTCCTCTGATGCTTGTCTTATAAGACATGCCTAAAAGGCATTTATTTCCCAAGTTTGTTGACTTATGACATGGTGTGCTAGAGTTTTCTCTTTCTTCCTCTTTCCCTCCTTTCTTTCTTTCCTTCTTTCTTTCTTTTTTTTTTTTGGGTCCGGTCGTGGGGCCTGAACTCTGGGCCTGAGTGCTGTCCCTTAGCTCTTCAGCTCAAGGCTAGCGCTCTACTACTTGGGCCACAGCGCCACTTCTGGCTTTTTTCTTTTTGTTTATGTGATGCTGAGGAATCGAACCCAGGGCCTCAGGCATGCAAGGCAAGCGCTCTACCACTGAGCCAACTTCCCAGCCCTCTTTCTTTCTTTCTTTCTTTCTTTTTAGCACAAGGTTTGGGGATAGAGGCTGGTACTGGGGCCTCTTACTCTGGCTTGGCTTTTTCTGCTCAAGGTTAGTCCTCTACCAACTCATTAACTGGAGAGTCTCATGGCCTTTTCTGTCTATCTAGGCTGGCTTTGGACCATCATTCTCAGATCTCTGCTTCCTGAGTAACTAGGATTACAGGTGTGAGCTACCAGTGCACAGCTCATTACAGGGTCTTAGCACTTATTCCACACATCTTTACTGACTACCTCCTTCATGCCAGATCTGATACAAGTGCCTGTGTTGTTAAGACTGGGCTGGCTCTCACAAATAGTTTTTAATGTTTTGGGGTAGAATGAAAATTTTCGAATAGAGTTTCCAGACAAACCATAGGATTCCTGGTCAAATTTAAATTTTAGATACTTGATATATACTTTGACCCTAAATAGATCCTGCATATTACATGACACATGATTATACTAAGATAATTATTATTTATCTAAAGTTCAGATTCAGCTGAGTGTCTTGTCTTTTTATTGGTGAAATCTTAACCACATAGAAATTGATAGTGAAGTGAAATACTAATTCTGCAAGAGGACAACCAGAAAGCAGCCTTGGACCAGACCCCTCTGCCTGTGTGGTTCCCCTTAGACTTCTCTAGGGTTCCAGGATCAGCACCATTTTGTGAGTGAATCTCAGAGCAGTTAAGTCAGTTGCTCAGGGTTCTCCAGCTAGACTTTTAGCCCAGCCCTACCAGACTTCAAAGCTTCAGCCCCTGCCATGCTACCCCCATGCCAAGCTGATGGTTATCTTCCTAGAGCTCTCATTTTCCTAGCTTGCCCTGGCTTCTCTCAACTTCTTGCCTCTTTCCCTACGAATGTTCAAGGAGAGATTCACTCCTGTCAGATCAATGTCATTTTGCCATAATGAAAACCACCTCCCAGGCCCATAGAGGAGAAGATCTGTCGAACCTTAATGAGAATGGTTCCGATTATGCAAAAAGCAACCTCATGGTTATTCTAATGTTACAAGTAAATATAAAACATTTAGAAATACTTGGCTTGGGCTTTTTTTTTTCAAGTACAGATGTCTGACTCTCTGCCAGTTTGTTATTAAAAATGCTACGGTGGTTTGGGTACAAAGATTGCTGCAAAAATAAAAGCTGATGCACTGTAAAGCACTTGTTTTGACTTTGTAGGAAAAGTGGGTATGACTAAGGCCAAGGACATATGGTGGCTCACAGTGGCTCTATAGTGGGGACCCCAGTATTCACAGCTCTTTCACTGCCCTATTGAAATGGAGGCGGGGGGCTGATTGCCCCTCCAGTCCCAACTTGGCTCCTGCCACCTCCCCAGCTGTTTCCGCTCATTTGCTGACCTCTGCTGACACCACATATGCACTTGCTGGGCCTTGCTTGGTGAGTTCTTCCAGCTCTGCCTTTGCCTGTCTCCATGCTATCCTTTACTCTAAGTAGCTCCTCCAACACACCACCCAGATCATTTCTTTTACTCCTTGAAAACTCCTTGGAATTATCGTGCTTACTTCTCATCCATCAAAAACAAAAACCCATAAATGCAGGGCTCCACTCATTGTTCACAATTGTCTCTAATATAACGCACAACGTTGGCTGCGTAGTACCTGATCAGCAAACATTTGCTGAACAAATGAAGGAGTTCATGAAAGCACTGCCTTGTCCCCTCTAGGAAAAGCTGTGCAAGTGGTAGCTTCCACAAATTTCAACCAACTTACAGAACACTCTGAAACCTGGGGACAACCTTAAAGTGCGGTGAGTCATGATTTGAGGTGTAGGAGGGGTTTCCTGGGGAGTGCTCAAACTGCAGAAGGAAAAATGCTTAATTGCTAGAAGATTTGGGGGACTCAAATGCATCTCCATAACACTGTCCCCTTGTATGAAATCCTCCCATTCCAGGAAGTTGTACTGATGCCCTTGGAACAGTTTGGAGATACGGAAGGAGAGTACTCCTTAGATACTTTGCTCCTTAGCTTGGCATTTGAGGTTCTTCTTGTACTTGATCCTCTTGTTCCCTCTCCCTGAGCCCTTTTCATGCCTCTTATCATCAGCTGCAGGCCACTGGTATTGAGTGTTTGCCCTATGCCCTTTCCCTTCCCGTTTTACATGCCAGCCCCTCAGTCTTATTAGGTAAATGCCCTTCCCTGTCTGTGCATGCCCAAATCCCAGAAACCATCCATCAAGGGCCGATCTCCCCAACTGTCTACCACATCCACCCCTACCTCAGCTGCTTCTCCCTCCTCAAAACCCACCCCCCTGGGCAATTTTTTCCTTTCCCCATCTTTCCTGTTTGACTCAAGCTTGACTTTAAGCTGCCTTAAGGGCAGGAATGTGCCTCATTTCTGTGTCTCCTGCTACCCTGAGCACTGTCATTTTTGTTGATGAACGAGTTGATGATATTACTGGGGACACAAAGCCTAAGTCATGAGCTCTGAGAAAAAATGGTGTGCCATCAAGTGCTGTGCCGTTCAGACCATAGCTTTAGATTTCCATACTCTGAACAGAAGCAATGGTGTGGTTCCCAGATGGGCATTCCAAACCACTGTCCACATGATCCCATGGTTTTAGATAAAAGACTCCTCGGCACACCACACAGCCCCCACTTTCTCTGCTCCATTCCCATCTTTTCCTACTAGGTGTCCAAATGTCTGAAACTTCCAGGCATTGGTCACAATTGTAATCCTAGCTACTCAGGAGGCTGAGATCTGCAGATCACAGATCAAAGCAAGCTAGGAACAAAAAAAGTCCATGAGATCTTTATCTCCTATTAACCACCACAAATCCAGAAGTGGAGATATGGCTCAAGTGATAGAGTGCTAGTCTGGAGTTAGAAAAGCCAGTCCCTGAGTTTAAGCCCCAGTGCTGGTACCAAAAAAAAAATCTAATAAAACCAATTTTTTTTAAAAAAACACAAAAAAACAAACAAAAAAACCAGAGACTCAAGCACTAACACTGAACACCTGCATAGAAGAACCAGCGAGCCAAGAGAAAACCCATCCCTGAGTTTTGCCAGATAAATGTCACATGATCATGGATAAACATGCAAATATACATATCTCAAATGGGTTCCAAACGGAGCATGTCTTTACACCAGAGCTGGAAAGCAGTGAGGAATCGCACACAGGGGAAGCCAAGGACCCGCCCTTCTGCATCACCTAGATTTGGAAGTGTTTGTTCTCTGAGCAGCGATGGTTTTAAAATGCAGCCCAGCAGAAGCTTTGGATCTCCATGGGGTGGTAGGTGTTTGTGTGCAACTTCACTGAGTGGAGGTGACACATCAACCCTAGCCTGTGCACAGAATCTGGATTTACAGCTGTGTTGGGGCACAGTGTCTCCCTTTCTACATGTACAGCGTATGGAGGGGTGAGGCAGGGACATCATCTCCTTCGCTACCCCTCTTTGCAATCTTTCTAAGGCTACCATCCAAGTGTGGCTTTGACAGCATTGGGAGCCCTGTTACAGTTTGAGTAAGTGAATGCTGTCAAAGAGAGAGCTAGTAAAAATGTTTCTCCGAGCTCCTGGAGGATTGCAGCAGAAGGAAGTGCTCCATCACTGGGAAGTGACACTAATGTATTCTATTAGATTTGCTTATCATGTTAAAGAGCATATTAAAAGGAAATGTTTGGAGAACGGATGCCATAACGTGGTATGATGGATGGAGAATTCCTAATTTGGAAAAAATGTGCTAAGACGACATGATTGATGTGAGTGACCTACTTTATTTTATAAGAAAGTATGAGTTGCCTCGGGCCCATTGGTACACATATTTGGAAAAAAAAAGTTGTTTTTTTTTCCACATTAAGTTTTTATTAACATTTTCAAAAGAGCAAAAACACCATAGAAGGATATAAGTTTCGACTTGTCAATGCAGATGTGTTTTGTCCTCATTTGCTGCTTAGAAAAATGCCTTCCCTAGAGAGGAGGGTTTGTGAATGAAGTGAGTTTCTTGTCAAGTCAGCACCCGATGGGGAGAAATCTGACATTCTCTTCCCTGATTAAAAAAAAAATGACAAGGAAAGGACATCTTTTACTTAAAGCACACACATAACTTCTGCTATTCATAAGTAGCAATCTCAAGATGATTGGCATCTCGTAGGACCTCCCAATACCTTTTGGGCTGTAGGCAGCAAAGACTGAGGCTGAGTTAACCATTTTCAGTCTTAAATGATGGTCCCCAAAACTGAGGATCCCAACCATCAAATGAAGCTCCTTGGTCAGGCCAGGGACTCTCAAATGTAACCCAGGCAGCAGATGGCGCTGCACAGGGGACTTCTGAGGGTTGGTAGCCAACAAAATATTGTTAACCTGGACAGGATATTATAGCCCTTTAGTGCAACAACCCCAGAGATTCCGGTGGTATAATGTTTCCTGAGGAAGGTGGGGTGTATAGAGGAACTATTTAGAGGTAGGGAGTGTATGTGGGCACAGGATTTCTAGGAAATACTGTCCAGTGTTACTAAAGACTTAGATTGCTGTGGGACTTTAGCCTTAGACATTTCAACTCTAGAACTTTCTTGGGAAGAAATAATCATCAATACTCAAGAGAGTCAGCAAGATGTTCACTATGGGATTGTTTGTAATTTTCCTAGACAGATAAACTGAAAGGTGGGATTGGGGGATTGTTTAAATAAATACATTCGTTTGATACAGCTGTTATGATACAGAAGATTAATGGAGGAAAAGTTTATAATGTTGTATTAAATAGGGAAAGTTGACTATAAAACATTGTGATTACATTGCATCTCAAGAAACCATATATACCTATGCCTACTGCAGTAGATAATTATAAGGTATATATTTTGATAATATCTTGCACTGTATAATATATATTTGAGTGGTATTCCTGAAACACTGGGAGGGATTGTCTTTGAAAAGTACATTTCACAGGCACTCCTTGTTCTTTCCTCTTGTATGTTTTCACTTCCTCCCTCCCTCCCTTCCTTCCTTCCCTCCCTCCCTCCCTCCCTTCCCTCCCTCCCTCCCTTCCTTCCTTCCCTCCCTCCCTCCCTCCCTCCCTTCCTTCCTTCCTTCCTTCCTTCCTTCCTTCCTTCCTTCCTTCCTTCCTTCCTTCCTTCCTTCCTTCCTTCCTTCCTTCCTTCCCTCCCAGTACCCCCTCCCTTCCTCTGTCCCCTACTTCCCTTCCATCCCTTTGGTCTTCCTTCCCTTCCCTCCTCTCACTCCTTCCCTCACCCCTTCCTTTTCCTTCTTTTCTTTTCTTCTTGAAGTATTTGGGTTTGAACTCAGGGAGGCCTGGCTTGCTGGCCAGGCAGTAGCTGCACCACTTGAGCCACACCCCTTGCCCTGTATGTTTTCATTTTCTACACAAGTCATGCTTTCCTTTGGTAATAAGTAAAGCAACTATTCAATGGAAAATCCGAGAGATGTGGCTGATTACATAGTAGAAACAATAAGAGAGTTCCTAAGGATTATTTGACACAAACTAGTTTTCTCATCTAAAAGTACTAACTTAGAAATACAAAGTGAAAAATTGTTGCATTTACAATAGCAAAAAAGAAAAGTATAAATTATCTTTAGAACTGAAAATACGATGACTCATTCATACAAGAAGTATAAAACACCTAAGTAGAATAATGAAGTATATCAAAGAAGTTCTAGATAAATTATCGTGCTTCTGGTTGTGAAAACTGATGGTTGTAAAAGTGTAGTCTTCTCATGAAGTGGTTTGTACATTTTATCCAGTTCTGGTAAAAATTTCTAGTAAGAATAATTGACAAGTTCATTTGCTAAACAGCACCTCAGAGAATAGATACATGAAAACAGATAACTTTCCTAAACGAAAAAGGAGACAGACTTGTCCTACTCAGTTTAAAAGGTATTACAAAGTGACACTAATTAAACAGCACATAGTGTTGTTGAAACCAAGTACATTAACGAATCAAATAGAACCTAGAATAAAGTATAGGTTAATATAATAAAAAGTGAGAGCCTCACACTTGACAGATTGTTTTTTCTATAAATGGAAAATGTCTAGATGATCCACAAAATGATGTTGGAAAAATTTGTTACTCATTTGGAGAGGGAAAAAAAGAATAGTTGTTAATGTGCCATTCATTGAAAAAAATTCCAAATGCATTAAAGATGTGCATATTGTTTAAAATTATAAAAGTTCTAAAAGAGGCTAAAGAATGGTAGTTCTATAATCTTGAGAAGAAGAAAGGCTTTTCTTGGAAAATTAGATAAACTTCAGGAGTTGCAGAGAGAAAAACACCAATAATTCCTTCCAAATAACAGAATATAGTACAATATTAAAGATAGTATATTTCTATATTTAAACTTCACTACAAAGAAGAGGAGGAATGCAACTTTTATGACAAGCAATAGAGAAAGAGCTTTCCTATATAAAGTGCTGTTCTAAGCTAAGTTTGCCCCCCGAACCATAAAACCACAACAGACAGAAAACAGAGAGTAGCCACCATTCCAAAAGAAAAATTGGAAGATACAGGAAAACTTTTTTAACCAAGCATACTATTAAAATAAACCATTAGAAATTAGGACAACCGAGCATCATTGTCATTCCCAATTGTCAAATTTTAAAAGAAGGTGCTAATATTCAGCATATTGTGATTGTGTAGAAATACATCGGATGCAAGGATTTCCACTCAGGGAGTGAACCCTGTGTGAAGACTTACTCTAGACAGAGGCTGTGGTAGTGTAGGTGGCCGAGTGAATGTTCCAGAACTATTCACTGAGGGAAGGAAAAGCAAGGAAATACTGGCAAGTAAACAGGGAAACAACTTACCTCTGTAGCCTAATTCTGCTTAAGAAGTAAACAGTGATTTATAGTTAGGACTGTTTTTTATAGTGTTAATCAATGACTGTAGGATTATAACAAAAAGCCATTCTACTTTATCCTCTTATGTCATATTCAACTTTTACATGACCATAAATCCTTAAATAATAATTTTTAAAAAGCAACGCACAGGATTGACACTGAGCACAAATCTGCCGGGAGAGGTGAGGTGACTTGCCCAAGCTGGCCAGCATGTGACAACCAGATGGAACTGTCTTCAGATCTCCAGGTTCCTATTGTTCCCCAGGACGTCCTAGTTCCCACCCAGAAGCCCATAGGGTGCCGGGTGGCCTCTCCACCAGAGGAGCCCAGGAACGCTCTGAGAACCATGGCAGCCACCGTGCAGATCACCTCAAGGCCCTAGGCCCGGTGGCTGGGAGGAGCCCATACCCAAGGCACTGGTTTAATGGGCTTCAGGGTGGATGTGCACCCTCAGTAATGATGCCCACACTAGTACCAGCTTGTCTACTCACCCGGTAGGGTGTCTGCCAGCTCTGGATGGACCCTGCCACTCATGGGTGGTGATCAGGCCAGGGCTCCCACCCCACCTCCACGCTGTCCCTGTGGTCTCTGTGCTGGGAGGCCTTACACAGTGGACAGAAAGGGCCCAATGTGGCTGTATGAGGAGTGGAGAAAAAGGAAGACATAGAGTCGATGATTATTACATCAGTGTGTATGAAAGCGCCTGCCACCTTACCTGTCCACCGACTGCTACAATTGAGCGTCAGAATCATCCTCAGAAGGAAAAAGCACATGTGCAATTGTGACTATTTACAGAAAGAGAAATTGAGGCAGGTTGAGTCATTTTCCTGATCACACAGCTAGGAATTATGAGGAAAGAAGAGGCTGGGTCATCTGCTGTACCCCTTTCTTTCTTTCTTTCTTTCTTTCTTTCTTTCTTTCTTTCTTTCTTTCTTTCTTTCTTTCTTCCTTCCTTCCCTCCCTCCTTCCTTCCTTTCTTTCTTCCTTTCTTTCTCTCCCTTCCTTCTTTCTCTTTCTTTATTTCTTTGATTGTTAGGCTTGAACTCAGGGCCTGGGAGCTGTCTCTAAGCTCTTTGCACAAGGCTAGTGCTCTACCACTTTGAGACACAGTGCCATTTCTGGTTTTTGAGTAGTTATTGGAGGAGGTAAGAGTCTCATGGGGACTTTTCTGTCTGGGCTGGCTTTGACCCGCAGTCCTCAGATCTCAGCCTCCTGCATAGGTAGGATTACAGGCATGGGTCACCAGTGCCAGGTCCCTTATTTCTTTTCTTGAACACTTCCTGCCTAGCCCATGGTTACAAGTACCTCATGCTTAGGCTTGACCCTGATTAAGGGCACTGTGGATTTTCTTGCTCTAATCTAAAATGCCCTTTGATTCCTAGCCCTGGACTTAGTGTCTGGTATATCTAATACTCCTCCAGCAGCTTTCTGCTCCTCAAAGACTAGTTGGGCTTATTCTCCAAGTGCCCAGAAGGGGGCACTGTCTAAAAATTCTCAGTATGAGGGTACTTGTTCTCTGGAAGGCTACTAATGACCTCACTCTGCTTTGTAAGGCCCTGTGAGCCAAGGACCTCACTAAGAATTTGTTGGATTAGTGGACCAGCCAGGGTGACCATAAATCCTTTCTCCGGTCCTCTTAGGGTCTGAGCTTCTGCTATCCTTGCCCCTATGTGCAATTTTTTCCCTTACAGAACTTGGGTGTGAAGCAGTTTCTGGACCTGAGGCCAAGTACATCGTCAGGGACTCTGCCAGCTTTAGGCTTGGGACTGAGGGGCTGAGGATTAGAAGCCAGTGTTATTCAAGAGATCTAAAAGATTGAAAGAGATCTAAGAGATAGAAGGCTGCAGGGAAATTAGGACTCTGTACTTTTCCAGGTCCACCTTTCTGGTAGTTTCACCAGCTTCAACATCTTCAATTATTCGGTTCAACCATACCCAGTGATCTAAGCAGAGATCTTGCTTCTTGCTTCTGTCCTGGCACATGGCGTGTGTGTGTGTGTGTGTGTGTGTGTGTGTGTGTGTGTGTGTGTGTAAATGGATGGATGGGTGGATGGAGATCTCCTGCTATGATGGAACTTGAGAGAAATCAAAAGAAATAATGAGGTGGGGAGGTGGGAAGGGATAGTAGGAGAAAAACAAAGGGGGGTAACAATGCTGGACAAGGAATGTACTCATGTAACAGTAACCCCTCTTTACAGCACCTTTACAATAAAATAAAATTTTAAAAATCCAAATTACAAACAGCAAAAAAGAAAAGAAATGACATTATAGGCCATGAGAACTCAGCTTCTTCATCTGTAAGACCAGACTTGCCCAAAGTGGCAAAGAAAGACTGGATGAGATTAGAAAAGAATACATGAGGTGGTATTCAAAGACCAGCCAAAGCAAAGGCCAGCTGGCTTGACTGGTTCATGCACCTGGGGACACTGTTGAGAGCCACCCCCACAGAGTAGAACCCCCCACACTGACTCTCAGTCTCTGTGGGGAGAGGCTTGATACTATCATAATGAAGTCATATCTATCACAAAGATCCTTGAGGCTACTTAACTGAAATAATTACATGTGTTTCAGAACTGGGAAAGCAAGGGTTCTAGCCAACATCTCATGATGCTCTTTAAAAAAAAATAAAAGGTTTCCCTATAAACTGCAGGTGGGGTGGGGAGTGGCAAGCCTTCCAAGCCAGGATACCATGTTTAATTCCACCTTTTATGTCTTGGCACCAACCCATCTATGTGTCTGTATCTCTGTATAGACATATTAAAACAACAGTAAAGGAGATTAAAAGAGTAACAATTGTCAGCCATAATCCCATTGCTAGAACTAAATTCTCCTTATGTGCATGTGTCTCCTTGTTTAATTACACAGGCGATCCATGAATGCCTTCTCATTGTCAGCAATTAAACAATTAAGTGTACATTGTAGTCTGTAAAAATGCCCAGTCCATCCTCCAGTTCCCTTCTCCTCCCTTGAAGCCACTGTGTAGTTGTAGCCTGATGTGGCCCTTTCTAGAACTTTCTCTGACTTTACCTCTTAAGTTTCCACATGTAATTTATGTATTAGTGCAAGAACATACAAGCAGTGTTCATTTAAAACCTTAACAGGATCATGTTGTTCTGGAACTTTTTTCCCTCCTCCTTTTGGGTCTTAGAAATCTTTCTAGGCTTCTGTACAGAGCCACTTCATAAATGGTAGCAGTTTTCTGTAGTATGGAAACATCCTAATATTTTATTACTCATCATTATAGGACATTTTAGGCTTTTTTCCAAGTTTTCAGTATTTCAGTGACTAATAAATAGTTACTGTAGGCTCTCTGCCTGTGCCTTGGGGTTCATCAGCCCTTTTCTTCATGTCAAGAGATTCCTACCAGGGATCACCAGCTCAATGAGGATAGAGATTTTATGTTTCTTCCTCAATTATATCCCCAGTGCCTAGAACTGTGCCGCCTGGCTCAGCATATGTGCACAGGAAGTGTTTGTTGAATGAATAATTGACCAGCAAGAGGAAGACATAGCTGCAAGTTATTTTAATAACCAATACTTCTGCAATGCTTGCACTTTATTTACAAAGGCTTTTTTTTTTTTTTGGTCGATCGTGGGGCCTGAACTCTGGGCCTGGGCTCTGTCCCTGAGGTCTTCAGCTCAAGACTAGCACTCTACCACTTGAGTCACAGCACCACTTCCAGCTTTTTCTGCTTATGTGGTGCTGAAGAATAGAACCCAGGGCCTCATGCATGCAAGGCAAGCACTCTACCACTAAGCCATCTTTCTAGCCCACAAAGGCATTTTTTAAACTTCCTTGTTGCATTTAATTCTGGAAACTAAAGTGACAATTAAAGATGATAGTCTACACAAAGTACCCAATGAGCACTCAACAGGTGTTTGTCCCTTTTGTCATTTGCTTTCTATATTCTTTCCACTGGCCCAGGACCGTCCCCTCCCTGCTTGCCATGATTTATTCGCTACCCATTATAGAACCACCTTACTCCTAAAGGTTCTTTGGGAAGATTAGTTTTATTCATCCTCTAGGACTTTCTTGGGAAGAAGTACTGGAACTACATGCTTTCCTGTGTCACTGAAAGAGGATGTCAGCAGCTTTCCCCTAAGTATTCTGTGTTTGGACACATTAAATAATAGTTAGCTGTCCAGTTTCCCAAGTAGCTCTTGAGGGCAAGAGTCATGATTGACTAAATTTGTTAATTGCAGGTCAATTGGAAACTTCCTTATAAAAGGTACATGCTCAGTAGCAGTGGAGTGAACAAATGAATCCCAAATTTCCTATGTGATTTTCAGTGGCTACAGGCTTCATATTCCTGAAGGCACAGGTCCTCCTCACTGCTCTGCTCTCAGACAGCACCCAAACCACCCTGGGGAGGGCGCACCTCAGCATCGAGGGACTGGCATGAGGAACGGCGCTGCTTTCTTCCCACTGCCCAGTTTTATGCTTCTTTCTGCTTTTCATATTTCAATCAATCCTTTTTTTTTTTTTTTGGTTGTTGTGGAGCTTGAACTCTGGGCCTGGGCACTGTCCCTGAGCTCTTAATTTCAAAGTTAGCCCTCTACCACTTTGAGCCACAGCACCACTTCTGGTTTTCTGGTGGTTAATTGGAGATAAGAATCTCACAGACTTTCCTGCCTGGGCTGGCTCTGAACCGTGATCCTCAGATTTCAGCCTCCTGAGTAGCTAGGATAACAGCTGTGAGCCACCAGCTCCCAGCTTCAATCCTATCTTTTTTTAAAAAATTATTTCATTTATTTTTATGTGGTAATAAGGAATGAAACCCAGGGCCATACATTCTAGGCAAGCACTCTACCCCTCAGCCACATTCCCAGCCCTCAGCCCTAGCTTTGACAGTCCTTATGTTAGGTTTTAGTGCCTTTCTAATTCTTTCCTTTTCCCTTTGGAATTACAGATCATTTTCACCTTCACTCCCTTCAAATAATTTGAAATTAGAAAATCAACAGAGCCCAGCAGTAATTAAGAAGTTAAGCCAGAATGATTTCAAGGTAGTAAGACTAAGACCACATCTCTCACGTGTTAACACCTGTAAGGTTTATTGCTCGGTGTGTAACAGGTGGTCTTCCTCTTCTAGATAGTATCATCGATTTGTTCCGTTTTAAATACCAAATGCCAACATGACACCTGACATAGACAGGTATGTTTTGAGAGAAAGAGCTTTTGCTTTCTTCTCATTTTTTTTTCATGGCACACATACAACTCCATATACATAATTCTGTCCTATCAAGCTGAGAATTCTATATTTTTATGAGTTAGGCATTTAATAGGTTTTTCAAGGATGGAATCTCAACCACCTTTTATAGTATTGTTTTTATGAGGAACAGCATTGGAAATGACAGACAAGGACCAGAAGGAAACTTCTAGAATCCGTGTGAAAGTTAAAGCTTCCTCTGTTCCTTCTAAACTCAACATTGACTCTTGTTGGGCTACAAAGGACCCCTGTCCCAATCAGGAAACGCAATGCCTCAGTCAGGGAAGCAGTGGGAAGCTTGGTCTGCGGTGGGTACTGGCAGGGTCTTCATGGGTCCCCTTTGAAGGAT